CGGAAACGCGCGGCGTTCGTAGCCGTCTCGCTGTGGTTTTCTGCCTCTGCAGGGAGAAGGGAGACTGTTTCACTCTCTTGTTTCTTTTCAGATAATCGATGCTACGCAGAAGGGAAACTGCTCTCGTTTTATGAACCACAGCTGCGAGCCAAACTGCGAGACGCAAAAGGTAAACGGCGGGATCAAAGCCGCTGAGGCTGGCCCCTCGCATCCACTGCCTTGCGACTTAGCAAGCTCAGAGTGAAAGGCATTTCTCCTTCAGGTCTCCTTTGTTTTGTGGTGGTTGTAACTCAGTGAAACGGGAACCTTTTGAAATGGGTTAGCAAGTTTTAAGTTCGCCGGGGACGCCGTTTGAGGGATTAGCCTTATTAATTTAAAGCAAAACCAGACTCAAGCCTGGCTTTTGTAATAACTGTTACCATCTTGTTCTCTCCTTGCCTTAGTGGACTGTGAATGGGCAGCTCAGAGTTGGATTTTTCACCACCAAACTAGTCCCGTCGGGCTCGGAGCTGACGTTCGATTATCAGTTCCAGAGATACGGGTAGGTTTTGGCTCTCTCCGCCTAAGCTGCTGGTGGTTTTGGGGAACGGTGGGGCAATGAAAAAATCCTGCTCTGAAACGAAGCGCTGCAAAGCCTCCTCTGACAGAGCGGTTGGAAATGACCTGGCACTCAGCTGGATAGAAAGCTACCTGGGTAAAGTTACTTCCCTTTCTAACACAAGAGATTGAGAGAGGAATTTCCTGTTGATTTAGGTCTCTCCCAGTGTCACTTTATTGCCTTTTTGTCCCACTTCATCCCATCTCTCCCCAGTGGAAATTTCCCAGCTAATTCTCTTGACTGTTCCTTTCCTCTGTCTAATTATTAATTACCCAAGCTCCACACATTGCAATACTCTTAAATAATGCCTCTTCTTCCCCACCCACCGCTGGTTTACGACTTTGCAAATACTCGCAGAGCTGTAAAACCCCAATAGATAGCACGTTCCCTCTTCCTGTCCGATTCCAGCAGCGCAGGTGTGCAATCTCCAGCCTGGGCTTTGGCTCCCTTCTCCAGGCCGGATGGTTTTGCATTACTGCTTGGCTGGGTGTACAGCGAAGAATTTCGCTCTTTTTATTGTGATGAGCACAAAATAGAGTCAGACAGGTTTGAAGCAACCTGTTATTAGGAGTTTAATTGTAGATCCATTTTATAATCCCTTTCTTTTGCTGGATACAGTTGTTTAGGGAGCGCCTCTTCGTTCTGGATCCTGCCTCCCACAGCGTTGTGGTTCTCCTGTAAGCAGGAGAATCAGAAATTAATTTTGACTTGGATGTTAAAATCACTTGTGCTGAAGCAGGTTGTTTAGGGAGCGCCTCTTCCTTCTGGATGCTGCCTCCCACAGCACTGTGGTTCTTTCTGTAAGCAGGAGAATCAGAAATGAATTTCGGCTTGCATGTTAAAATCACTTGTGCTGAAGCATCGGACGCTGTCGCGTAGTTTTCTGTTCCTGGTGCGAGGAAGGCAGGCGAACTTCGCCTCAGCTTTTCCAGTTGCTCTGGCAGCCTGTTTGCTTTCTAGGCACCTGGGAATGCCTCTAAATCTGCGGAAGGTCACGGAACATGCAGTCTGTACGCCCATAATTTTATTTTTGTCTCTACGTGGCTTAGTCAAAATCAGTAGGTGTCGTGGCCCTCTTAGGGCCTCTCTGATGCAGAAGCATTTTCCTGTATTGCTTCGCTCTGACGCCTGATGCTTGAGTTCAGTGACTCTCATCTCGTCTCGCTGGAGGTTTCCAGCTCTGATTTTTTGGTCGTCCTTCCTGAGCTCAGGTTCTGCTCCGTGGAAGGTCCTGCAGTTGAGCTTCCCTGGTTCTTCCCGCGCGTACTGCAGAGCCATGTTCTGCCGGTGGATTATGCACGTTTAAAATAAAACCCCAAAACTATCTTCTCCCAAGAATTTTTGGCATGTAATTTAAAATGTGTGATATGTCAAGCGAAAAATACAGAGGCTTTGTAGAAATACTGCCTGAAGATAACACAATTTCTCTCTCTTCTGCTCTCTATGTCCATATATCCGTGCAAAAAATCATCTTCCACTCGCATCTTACTATTTCCATGAATCCTCAGCCCATTCTTTATTCTGTTTTGAGCAATAAAATGCAAGTCTCGATTGTACAGTCATTAGGAAAATTAATACTTTGGTTGCGGTGTGTGGTAAGAAGTTGGCAGACCCAGCACCTCCACCTTTTCCTTCCTGGTTCTTGGTTCTTGACCTACAAAGAGTCTGGAAGCGAAGCAGGTTTTGGTTGCCAGCTCAGACAAACATGGGATCACGGTAGCGATGTAGGGAATAAAGACCTTGAATTTTCAGTGGTCAGAAAGGCCTTGCCATGCAGAGCAGTTCCTGTCCCTTCCCAGGATGCGCTTTAAGGTAAAACAGCTCGCAGTTCACGTGTTACTAAACTCCTGCTTCTGCCCACCAACAGCAAAGAGGCTCAGAAATGCTTCTGCGGCTCGGCCAACTGCCGGGGTTACCTGGGAGGGGAGAACAGGGTCAGCATCCGAGCTGCCGGTGGGAAGATGAAGAAGGAGCGCTCCCGTAAGAAGGACTCGGTGAGTCGTATTCCCCTTTGGATGTGGTGGTTAATTTATTTCGAAGAGTAGCAGCAACCAAGGGTTGACCCTGGGCTCGCTCACCTCCGTGGAAGTCTTCAGGTCACCGGTGACTCGCGATGACCTCGAGGTTCAGTCTTTTCCGGGGATGTATTGGTACCATTTTACTTCCCTGGGGCCCTCAACGCTTGTGTTTTCACGAAGCTTTAGTTAAATCAGAATATCCTTTCCCTGGGCTGCTTGGCGCAAAGTCCCACCGGAGAGGGACGTTCACAGGGTCAGTGTCTGGCCATGCAAACTGCATGCTGCTGAAAACCAAACTACACCCTACGCGGGTTTAAGAATCTGGGTTGTGCTGCATCATTTTTAACTGTCGGCGGCAGACGGGCGATACCGGCTTCACCGTTGAGGAGGTTACCTGGCGTGTGATGGCTGAAAAGGCGCAGATCATCCGGGCCGGGGTGTGAAATTCGAGTCCCTTAATTGCTTTGGCCTAGAGGCTTCCAGGAGGAACTTGCAGGAGCATGTCTCGGGTTTGTGCCGACTTCAGTTACGGTTGTGTTTGCAGATGGCCGTGAATGAAACGTGTAACTTGTATCCAGGCTTTTTTTAAGTCTTTTTATAGCTTTCCATGCACGTAATCCTCTTCTGAGAGCCCGTGCTGCACTGCAGTGACGGGTTCACGTGGTAGATGTAGCAAACTGCGGAGGAGTCTGAGCAAAGCAGTCGAAAGGAGTGTTTCCTGGGTGCTGCCAGAAACTGGGCGGGCTCTTTTCGCTTCCTACCAGATGTTAATCGTTCTCTCCTTGAAGTTATAAATCTCTAGTCCTACGAATCACATTTTTTCCCTGATGTTTTGGGAGAAGCTACCTTTAAAAATGCCAGCTTCGTTTTTATTTACTGTATCGGAGAGGCAGGGAGCCAAGATATGATTTGTAAGTCACTTGTAAGTGGTTTTAAAGTGCTAAATTGAGCAGGAGGCTAAATGATGAACCTTAGTTCCGTGTCTGTGCCTCTGGCTGTAAAGCTTATGGATACCTGTTTGGTACATAAAGAAGTAAATCTGAGTGCAATGAAAATAATCTCTTAGTGCACATCTCTCTTCCTGGGCGAAAAGATAAAGTTGGGAGTATTTTGGTGCATGTACCCAGAATTTCTTTGGCGTGGTATTAGTTTTGTACATCTAAAACGTTCGGAGGAACGGAGATCGGGGTCGAAGGTTTCCTGCCTCTTGCGTGTCATGCAGGAGTGTGGCTGGCTGCCCTCTGTCCCCAGTAGAAACAGAACTGGTGGGAACAGTGCACTTTACGGGATTTAGGGCCTAAAAAACCACCCCATAACAGGCCAGTTAAAAGAAACTCAACTGCGTTGAGTCAAATTAAAGGCAGGATTCTTTTCCCTATGGACAGATTCCCCAGGAGAGGCTTCTCCTGGCCCTCAGAGCCGGGAAACGGATTGTCTCTGCCATCATATAGGGTGACATGAGCCTGACATGACCTGAGAGTTGTCTTCCTTTGGCTGTGGTAGGTGGACGGGGAGCTGGAAGCGCTGCTGGAGAACGGGGAGGGTCTCTCTGATAAGAACCAAGTTCTCAGCTTATCCCGCCTGATGGTTCGGATTGAAACGCTGGAGCAGAAGCTCACCTGCCTCAAACTCATACAGGTGAGAAGGTCCTGGCTGAAGGGGACTGCAGGCGGTGTGTGTCTCCACCCTTTGCTTGGTATGTGTTTGGGGGAACCGGGGTGATGCCCGTTTCTGGAAGGAAACCGTCCGTAAGGGATTTAGGCGGTAAACGAGCAGTTTGTTGGCCTAAAATTGTAACTGTTATCTCCAAGATTGTCCTGCATTTTCACCTCTGACTGCAGCCAGTTTTCCATGGCAGTCCGTTACTGTTCCGTTGTATTCCCCAACACGAGCCGTAAGGGTGCTCACGCTCCTCCTGTGTGCGTTACCGCTCCAAGCCCAGCGGCTACGGCCCCTTCAATCCCATGGCAGGGGGGTTGGAACTAGATGATCTTTAAGGTCCCTTCCAACCCAAACCATTCTATGATTCTATGATTCAATGACGCGAGGTGTGCGCTGATCCTGGCAGGCGCCTGCTTCCGCCTTCTGCGATGGGTTTGATGGGTAACGTAGGCCCAACTGAGCAGTTAGCCCATGGAAATCGGAGGGATTTTTTTATCCCTAAGTCTCTGATCATCCCCACCGACTCTCTATCTTTGCCTCATCCAGAACACGCACTCGCAGTCCTGCCTGAAGTCCTTCCTGGAGTGTCACGGCTTATCTCTCCTCTGGATTTGGATGACGGAGCTGGGCGACGGCAGAGGAAGCACCGCTAACAACCTGAAGTTGCAGCTGGAGGTCAGTCATTCCCTCGGGTTTGAAAATCCTCCGACGCAGCGTGCTGATTGCTCAATGATTTCATTTTTCACATATTGTGTGCCAAGTGTTCCTGCAAACAAACTGCAGGTATCCTCAAAACTACAGCCTCAAATTTTCTGCTTTAAGGGAAAATCCTTAATATATGGAAAGAATTTGCTCGTGTGGTTTTTCTTAGATTTCGGAGTTTGTGTGACATGAGCCAGACTTACAGATCGTTGCTGTTTATTCTACACTGAACTGCCCAGGGAGTTTGAGGTGCTGGCGGCCTGACGTGATACTCCAGCATTTCTGGTTTCTGTGTCCACTTTGTTGTCGCATGCAAAGAGGCATCTGGAAGTTCCTCTGTTAGAGACGCTTCCACAGGAAGGTTGCTGCGTGGTTTGGAGGGGCGTGCGTGGTCCTGCATCCCCGGCGAGAAGACAGAAGCCACGTGAGCTCCAGAGCTCAGGAGACAATCCTCCACGATTTTTCTCCAAGCTGGTCCATAGCGTTTCGGAATGACCCGTGTCCTACTCATGCTTTTCTCCTCTGTAACACCCTGGGTTCAGCTGTTCCCTCTGAGAAACGGGCGCTGTTGGTCTCAGAAGAGCTGCCTACATGTGCTTCTGGGAGCCTTCAGCTCCTGGGGTGGGATGAGGGTACCTGGAGATTTTTGAAGCTCAGCTGTGCTGTGGGGAGACCCCCCTGCAGTTCTGCTCCAGCTCTGGGCCCCAACAGCCGAAGGACACGGAGCTGTTGGAGCGAGTCCAGAGGAGGCCCCGGAGATGCTCCGAGGGCTGGAGCCCCTCTGCCATGGGGACAGGCTGGGGGAGTTGGGGGGTTCAGCCTGGAGAAGGGAAGCTCCAGGGAGACCTCAGAGCCTCTTCCAGTGCCCGGGGGGCTACAAGAAAGCTGGGGGGGCTTTTCCCAAGGGCCTGTAGTGACAGGACAAG